TTCCGGAAGAAGGTAAAAATTATGTAAAACCAAATTATATCAAAAATATGATGATGAAGCCTTATATATTCGAAGCGAATTTAGAAGGTGAAGAGATCGAAGTGGAGAAAAAAGATAATGAAGGAAATACTATAAAAGTAGCAGAGCAAATAGCAGTTTCATATGGATATACGATACATTGTTCAGATGGAAAAACTCAAAAACCGGTAATTAATCGTGAATCAGAAAATGTAATAAAGGACTTAATATATAATCTTCAAGAAGATCTAGATGTTATTTTAGATAAGCTTTGTGACCCACTTCCATGTGAAAAAATGACACCAAAATTATGGCGAGAGTATCAAATGGCAACTAAGTGTTGGACATGTGACGAAAAATTACATAAAACAGGGTACAATAAAATTCGGGTGTTTGATTCAGAAACTAAGAAATATATAGGAGCTTCACACAGGAAATGTCACAGAAAAAAACCAATGATTTTAGGAAAGTTAGATGATAAGCAAAAAGAAAAACATAAATCTTGTAAGGTATGTATGTTATACGTGTTGCCCAAATCCCAAATCATTTGGGATTTGGGACGCCAAAATCCCAAATTACTAGTATTTGGGATTTGGGATTTGGGATTTCGGCAAAAAATACTAATTATAATTTAGGATTTGGGATTTGGGATTTCGGCATTTGGGATTTCGGCATTTGGATTTTGAATTTGGGTGGCAGGTATAATGTATGTACTGCGAAACACAATTACCAGATGAAGAAAAAAATAGGGTGTTAGATCATGATCATATAACAGGTAAGTTTAGAGGAGCAACTCACAGTGGATGTAATCTCAAATTACGAATTGATCCAGAAACAATAAAAATTCCAGTACTATTTTGTTATGGGAGTGGTTATGATTTCCATCATCTTATGCAAGAAATAGCGAAAGTGACAGATGAAAAAATAGTTCCTATAGCAAATAATTCAGAACAATATATTACATTTTCAGTAAGTCAATTACAATTTATTGATAGTACGAAATTTGCATTACCTGGATTAGTTAAGATGGCAGAAAATTTACGTGATGAAAAGAAGGGTCAAACTAAAACACCAGAACAACTAGCTAAATGCTTCCCCATCTTATCAAAATTCTTTTCACCTCATTTATTGTCGTTACTTACACGCAAAGGAATATTCCCATATCAATGGTTAAATAGCAAAAAGAAATTTAATGAGACACAACTCCCACCACGTAAGGATTTTAATAGTGACTTAGATGGATATAATTATTGCGATCATAATTGTAGAATAGAAAAATGTAAGCATGGAAAGAAAATAGGGAAATGCGAACATAAATGTCAGAAATGTAAGCATAAAAAAGAAGTAGGTAATTGCAAAGAATGTGAAGAAAACAAAGAATGCGAGCATGAAAAAGTTTACACTATATCACAAGAGGATTATGATTTTGCACAAACAGTTTGGCAAGAAACAGGATGCAAGACTTTTGGTGATTATCATGATATATATCTAAAAACAGATGTCTTAATTCTAGCTGATGCATTTGAGGCATTTCGAAAAGCGTCATATACAGCTTTTAAACTTGATCCGGCGAATTATCTAACAGCTCCAGGGTTGGCATGGGATGCATGTATGAAGGTAACAAAGGTAAAATTAGAACTATTTCATGAGAATCAAGGGGATATGCATGATTTCTTTACAGCAATGAAAAGAGGAGGAATGTCTTTAGCAAGACGGCGTATAGCCAGGGCTAATATTCCAGGACTAGAGGGATATGACGGAAAAAAGGCAAAAAAATGGTTGCTCTATTTAGACGCCAATAATCTATATGGTTGGGCAATGACGCAATATTTACCAACCGGAGGATTTAAATGGGTATCTAATCAACCTTTAGAAACAACTCACCCATTAGTGCAGAAAATTTTATCATTAAAAGAAAAATCAGATAAAGGATGTTGTTTGGAGGTTAAGTTATCAATTCCTAAAGAGTTATACCCCAAGTTTCGAGACTTTCCAATGTGTCCAGAACGAATGAAAGTACCATATGATTGGTATAGTACAAAACAGAAAGAAGACATGGGTAAACAACGTTCAGATACAGAAAAACTTATACTAACTCTACATGATAAAGATCACTATGTTATCCATTATAGAAATTTACAGCAGTGTATAAAAGAGGGATATATTCTTGAAAAAGTATATCGAATTCTAGGATTTGATCAATCTCCATGGATGGAGCCATATATTGCAATGAATACCCAGCGACGAGCAAAAGCAAAAAATGCATTCGAAAAAGACTTCTGGAAATTGATGAATAATTCAGTATTTGGAAAAACTATGGAGGATGTGAGAAAACGAGTGAATATAGATTTGGTTCGACAGGTAGGTGAAGAACGACGATTACGTAGACTAATTTTAGATCCAGCATTCGTTAGTAGAAAAATTTTCTATGGAGCTAATCTAGTAGCAGTACACCGAAGGCAGACTAATGTAAAACTAAATAAGCCAGAATATGTGGGAGCATGTATTCTTGATCTTTCTAAATATTTTATGTATGACTTCTGGTATGGATATCTCAAAAAGAAATATGGAGATCGGGTAAGGCTTTTATATACAGATACAGATTCATTAATCATAGAAATTGAAACTGAAGATATTTATCAGGATATGATCGATGATTGCGATTTATTTGATTTTAGTGACTATCCAGAAGATCATTGGCTACTAAAAAATCTTCCAGAAGATCAATGGATAATCAATGAAGAAGGTAAGCATATCTTAAAAAATACTAAAGTTATAGGCAAGTGGAAGGATGAAAATGGAGGATATCGACTTACTGCCTATGCGGGAGTTCGTGCAAAATGCTATAGTGTTGTGTGTGAAAATTCACGGAAAAATATGATAAAAGCTAAAGGTCTTAAAAAGTCACTTATCAAGAAAGAGCTTACACACAAAATATTCGAGGACTGTATTTTGGAAGGAAAAGACGATCAACCACGAACTGCACAATTTCTTCGAAGTTATAGACATCGAATGTATAGAATAAAGCAAACAAAAAGAAGTATTAATTCACGAGATAAGAAATTATGGATAGGCCATGATGAGACTACACCATATTTATTTGGTGATTGTGAAATTCCGGAAGAATAAATAACCTACTAAATCATTCTACTTATTGTAATGTATAGCGAAGCTAGTGTTGAAAACACATATATCTATTTTTTATGATCGAAAATAAATATAACAATTAAATAAAAAGTCTTAGTTAATAAAATCCACACGTTTGAGATATACAATATGCATACATATAATCCACTTATTATTCCGGATACTATTGGTGAAATCGTTCAAAAACTTTCATTGGAAGATCTCAACAAATTCTGTAGGATAAATTGCACTTGGTACAAAGAAATTCAACACGAACTCTGAAAAAGATGGGAGATACAAGTGTTAAAAGGTTATAAATTAAAACTTGACAAAGATAAAGAACAAAAGGAAGTACTAGAAAAATATTCAAATGATCTTTTCATATTAGGATACATTGATACTGAATTAGACATGCAATATTATAAAAAACAATTTGAGATAGCTAAAAAGCAGATAGAGATCGAAAAGTATATGCTTGTTAATGGAATGTTAAGTGAATCAGAAAAGGAGATCGTTAAATTTAATATACAGCAAATAAAAAATAACGCAATCCCCTGGGATACTATAGAAGATTGGGATTTAACAGAATTAGAAGATTGGGATGATTTACCTGAATTGATCGAACAAGCCTAGAGATTAATGTAACGAGTGATCAGTGAACGATTGATAGAATTTTAGATGTTGGTAAAACACGTTGAGCATTTATAATAAATTACGTATTTTTTTCTCACCAGATATAATTTCATTCTAAGATGACACTAAAAAGAATTAGCAAAGATCCCGATACACAACAGTCGGAGAAGTCTATCAAATCAAGAGTACTACCATCCCGTTTAGCTAAAGAGGATATTGATTGTATAATGTATGCCAAGGAATTAAAAGGTGGATCTAAAAAAGTTTCGGAGTGGTATAGAATTGGTACACAAAAGTGTAATAAAATATGGAAGTCTGAGAACCCATACTCATATGCAAATTCAATCGAAGACGCGAACTTACCTAACTGGTACATCAATAATAGTAAATTTGAGAAGGTGAATACATCGCCCGAACCAACACCTCAAATAGATATACTCAAGAAACCCGATATTGCCAAGCCTGATCCTATAGAAGTAAAGAGGATGCGAAAACAGGGTGAAATGGAATGAATTGCAAAGAATATTTTTAGATCAGAATTGAGTAAATTAGTGCAAGCTGATGACTAAAATTATATAAAGATCTGGAGACAGATACATAACTAAACCATGTGCTAATTCTATTAATTTCATTCTGAGCTTTTTTATTTATCAAATGTAGAGAAAGCAAGCCGACCTACCTATCTGCCATATATATTTTTTTCAGTTAGCTCCATTAATTATCTATTAAATAAAAAGCTTTAGTTAATAGTGGAGTAAGAGATAAGTTAAGTGAATATAGTAAAAATTATATTGTTAATATTATTAAAACATCAGAAGTATGGTTACGGTTTGTAAAATATTATCTACTAAAATATATACACAAGTATTTATTAAAATTAGGATATGAAATAAATAATAGAGATTACTGAAAAAATTTTGTATTTCATATCAAAAATAATTTAACCAGCTATAAATAAATAGGTAATGACCTTGAATATAAAAATTTTAAAGTTCAATTAGCATTGTATAAAAAAAATCGTATATCATTAATTATCCAATAGGCATATTGTTTATAGAGAAAACAAATTAATTCAGCTAAAGTAATCTAATATGCAATAATTAAATGGCTTTGTCGACCTAATGGATTATTTATGAAACAAGCTAAAGATCGATATTATCTAAATGCAAATAAACTTAGTTAAAAATACTAATTTCATTTTGTAGTAAGACATTTTAACTACATAATCATATTTTTTATGTATTATGTAGCACGTTTTTATTACCTGTGACATGTATTCAAGAAAAATACTTTACAAGTTAAATGCGCACAATCGTATTTATCCCTACATATTTTTGTGTGACCCAATTTCTAGAAGTTTGTGGAACATTCTTGTGCAGCATAGATAATCATTATACGTGTTTTTTTTGTTTTATTTAACCTGAAAAATATTTCTATACCACATATGTTTTTCGATAAGAACATGCTAAATGAAACTCAAAAAGGATATAAGAAGAAATAGACTGTTAATGTTTTATTAGTAAAATTAACAAAAATCCCAAGTTATGGGAAGTCGGGATTACAAGATTGCAAGATCATCGAGATTTAGCCTTACTAAAACAATCGTCTTATCTAAATGGAATTCATTCTCCTCAATAATATCAAATATATATATATATTTCAGCTTTGTTGAATTTTTGACATTTTCGTTACATATGACAATATAACAGGTTTACTTCAATCTTGCTGATTTTATAAATAAGTAGGTTTTGGGAGACTCAGTCCTTACTCACATTTTTTTAAGGTACACATAATCCTGAAGAAATATTACATTGCATCAATTCAGATATTATTTACAAGAAATTATTCATCTATACAAGGAATTTTACTCACTATGAATCTTCGTTTTAGGAACCACAAAAATGTCTGGCATTATTAGTCTCAACTTTTGCGTTCATGGTGATACAAATGATGAAGAAGTTTTTATGATTGAAATTCCTAAAGAAAAAAAGGTCGATATGCTCAAACCCTTAGTAAAGAAACGATTAGCACCCCTAACAAATAATATTCCTTTTATAAAAATCAATTTTCAAACAACGAGTGGAATGAGAATGAAAGCAATAACAAAAATTTCTAATTATTATGACAGAGATATTAATGAAGATGAAATTCACGTTTTAGTATTCCTCCCTGAATAAATAGATTTTTTATCAGATAATATCTGTGCATTTCATGAATATGTATTCGCAAATTTATTTTTTGTATCTACCTTACTACGGGCAATGTTTTTTATTTTGTTATAATAAAATAATTGTACATCAGGTGTAGCTGTTTATTTTGTTGCACGTGTATTGCCTGATTAATAGATCATCGTTTACCCTGAATTCACATATTTTTAGTGCAACCTAATTTCTCACATATACACCCATTGGATATTTTTTGTTAATTTTCATGTTTTTCATTAATCATGAAACTCGCCTTTCTATTTTAATTTTGCCATAATAAAAAATCTTACCTATCTTTGTACCGTTTCGGACGTAATGCTATTTCGAGTTGAGATAATTTTTTCGAATAACGTATGAATGGGTATATAGGTGATATAAAGCTAGATGAGATATGATTTTTTGTGGAGTGAATATTCTATAATGACCAGTAAAACTTCGTTGAGCTCAACAGAGGAATGTTCCAATAGTGCTAATATTTCTCAACTCAAAATACTTTCATTAAATTTTTTACAAAACATCTTTGAAATATCTAATGAAGAGGAAGTTCCAAAACTTAGTCCATGCCAAAAATGTGGGAAAGAAATTTTAGCATTTCCACTATGGACATTTGTCATATTATCTTGTGAACACATATTCCATAGAACATGTATCAAGCAACATATCGTTCGTATAGATACGCAGGTTCCTATACACCCTAGCTGTCCTATCTGCTCTACAATTATCGAAGTTATTAGAGAAGAAGGCACTCTTGATTCTGACAAGTATCAGATGGTACCCAAGATTTGTTTCCTTATTGATTTCAAGAAAAAAAAATCTCAGCAAAGCACTGATACTGTAAAGGATGATCCGGAATTTGAGTATATGAGGGAGTTAGGCATTGTGGATGATACATCTTCTGTTAGTTAAGAGAATCAACTGAGTAATGCTTCAACCCAAGATCAAGCAACAAGCCTAATTACAAATATTTTCAACACAGCACAAGAGCAAGATACAAACCCTATGTGTCTTGAATTGGAAACTCGTGGCAAAGCCACTGGCACTAGCTCCGCTATTAGCAATAAAAAAGCTACGACTACTATGGTACAGATCAATCCATCCGATCAAGATAATGCAAACGAGATCACAGATTCTACTACATCACCACTCAAATGCAATAGTGTTTCTGAACCCACTTTAGCAGTTAATGCAAAAGAAGAATTTAGAACACATAAAGTATCTCGTATTAACTTGACATCAGTTAAATCTGATAAAAAAGAGAAGGAGTCCCATGTACTGAAGAACTTTATCAAAGAGTTAACCACTGATTCATCTGAAGTTTTCAAAGACCTACCGTTAGATGGGAATGAAGATGATTTTTTATATCTGTACAACAGAATTACTAATGCTGAAGCTCACAGTGAAATCACAAATCAAGAAGTCATACGTTGCTATTACTCTCTTGGGAAGGTACTTTCACAATGTTTCAAGTATCACTTTGAAAAATCTTATAATGAACACACAGCTCAGATTGAAGTTAATAAAGAGTTTGGTAATCGGCTTCCTGACAATATAACAAAAACCACTATTCGAAAGAAAACAGAAAGAGCAAAAAAAATTTACATGCTTTTTTGTAATAATAGAGAGGGGTTGATAAAACGAGTGCAAACCTATTCTGCAGTATCCATTTCAAAATTGAGTGTGGATGACATCACATACATAATATCTCAGATTAAAATCAAAACCCCAGCATAAATAAAGAGCGTCATGTACTCCATATAATATAGGGTCTTGCCTAAAGCTCTTCATAGGCCGAGCTGAGCTAAGCCTCATAAAGCTCAGGCCGAGCTGAGTCAAGCCTTATAAAGCTCAGGCCGAGCTGAGCTCAAAAGTCTTAGGCTCGGCTCAAGCCTGAGTTTATAAGTTAGGCTCGAGTTGAGCTGAGCTTTATAGTAGGCTCGCGAGCCTTATATTAGGCTCATAAACTTAACAATCCACAGACTTTTTTTAATAATACGAATTTCTTTATTATTATTTACTAAAATTACAAAATTTTAACTATAAATGTAAATTTTCATGTAGAACACTTTTATTTAGAGACTCAACTAAGGTTTAAAAGGTAGTTCAAAATCAGAAGAGTTAAATTT